TTCTTTTTAAAGCTTTCCGTTATCTTCAAATGCTGCTCAGTCACTTTCATTCAGTCATCCCAACCAGCAAACAACTATTGAGTATTTATTGTGATAAGCCCTGAAGCCTCCGTTTTTCACATCAGTAAAGAACAAACGTTATCAACTTGAAGTTTAGAGATGACACTGCCTGCTAGGGAGGTGGTCAGTAATGGTAACTGCTGGGTGACAAGAGCAGGTTGGCTTGAGCTTTTTGTTGGTGGCCAAGGCTAAAACCCAAATGTGTCCTCACACTCAGCCAAGAAAATCAGGGACAAAAAAGACAGACAATGCATGGACAGTCTTGGCAACCTGAATTCCCACTTCAAACCTGTCTGCAACCTCAGTCTTAGGGCCCTTCTGAACTTCCAGATCCCTTCTCTCATCTGAGCCACAGGTCAGCAGGCAGCCCGGACTCAACAACTTCAAATAGCCTGGTGAGTGCTCTGTCAGATTGGGAACTCGGAGCCTTTTTTCTTGGTCCTGCATGTCCCATGGGTCACCTGATACAATTGAGTTGATTTGAACTTCTCATGAATACATTCCTTTTGCCATTTTCCACAGGCCATGCCTGAGTTCTTGGGGTTGGTGAAAGGGCACTTATGGAAAAACAAGACTTTTTGGAAAAATAAATGGGCCCATAGCAGAATAGGTGGGACATAGTTTTGGGAAAATGTCTGGGTGTGGAGCAGACTTCTCTTCTTGGCTCAGTCTCAGCCTTTAATCTTCTAACAGGAGATTAGAGTTGCTCCTGGGAGCTTTATGACAAGGAGTTCTTTTGGGAGGCTCTGCTATAGGCAAATAAAGGATCAGGAACTCAAGTGCCTTTAGCTGAAAATAATTTCCATGCCTCAGTGACTTATTCTAAACCCCATCCCTAGCTACACATTGACTCCCTCTAAGGATTCTGTTTCCAGAGTGAACTTACTTAAGTGTAAATCTGATCATGTTAGTCTCCCCTTAAAAGCCTTAGTGATTTCTTTATGGCTTTCAGAGTAGAATCCAAACTTCCCAGCATCTAATTCATGAGCTAGTCTGTTACTTCTCTACATTGTATTTTGTGTGTGTATGAGAGGGACAGACAATTAAACAAGAAGACAGACATGAAGTAGAAAGATAATTTTTATAGTGGTAAGTATTATTAAGAAGACACAGGGTTATTAGGAAGCGATGGAGCCTAGATTCCATCAGAGGAGGTAAAATTGCCGTTGGAAGGCCAGTGTGGCTGTAGCATCAGGAGCTAGTGGGGAAGATGAACCAGGCACGGGATGAGGGTAGCCCACCTGGGGCCTTTTGAAGGCAGAAGGCATTTGGATTTTAGTGTATATGCTGTGGGAAACCAGTGGATAGTGCAGAGCCTTTTTTTTTTTTTTCCCTTTGAACTGCATTCCCTAAATTCCAGGAGTGCCGAAATCTCTTTCTGGTGCTATTTCCCCTTCATTTCTCTTATGCCTCCTCTTCTTTAAGACTCGGATGTTCTATCTCCAGGCACCCTCTTTCTGAACCCATACACCTAGATAGCAGCGAATTGTCAGTTTTTCTTGTCTATTTTCCCCTCTAATCACTGAAGGATGAATCTTTTCTTTGTGTCTACAGCCCCTGGCTTAGCCCTGTCTAACGCTTGGCGGACTTTCAGGGAACCTTTATGAAACAGAACAAACTGCCCTCTTGTAAATTTCACCTCACTCCTGCGCTTTCTCCCAGCCCTGCTGACACTTTTAAAGAGCCCTCTGTGGGGCTCCATCTAATCCCAGATCCTGTAGTTCCTTTCCGATTGCCTTTTTAGGTACTAGCCCTTTCTGTCCGCCCTTTCACAGCAATCAACCTTCATTCTCTTCACACTTTTCACCCTGCTTAGGTTCCTATTAAACTTGAGTAAGTGGGCGATGCTCAGGGAAATGGCGGAGAGAGCCCAGACCTCCCCAGGAGGCCAGGAGGCGCGTTGTTTACCTTCCTGATGTAAACTCCCTGCTTCCCACTCCCAGAGTGGAATCAGACCTTCTGAGAAACCCCAGAGGGTTTCAGAAGCCGAGATACTCGAGGAAATGGTAGGAGAGTAAGATAAGAGGGGAGATTTTTGTCAGCAGTCCTTTCTGAGGCAGGAAACCTCTCCTGATCAACAGCAGTGGCCTATAAAACGGTTTTTTTTTTTTAACTGTGGTCCACAATAAAAAATACACTTATATTGTGAAGCAGCACCCACAGATGTATACTAGTAAATAAACCTAGCCATATTTACTCTTAGTATGCATGATGTACTCTTGATATTTTCTAGTCTCTACCCTTTTTATTGTTGTAGTTTTTGTTGAATGCCATTTGATTGGTGGCTAAGGCTCTGGGCAAGGACTCCACCAATGGGTATATAGATCTGAGTTCAAAGATATTTTCCTTCAGTTCTTTAAAGATCCTGTTCTAGTCCCTTCTCTTCTTGTACCCCGTGTTGTTAACCGTGTTGTTAAGAAGTCTGATGCCTTTCTGATTTCTTTGTAGGTAATTGTTTTCCTCTTCTGATAGTTTGCAGGATTTTATTACTATTCTTAATGTTTTGAAGTTTTCCTATGCTTATTGTAGGTGTGGGCTTATTTCTGTTTACATTTCTCTCTTTGTTCCTTTTGAGTTTTATCCTTTCTTAGTTTGGGAAAGGCTTATCTATTATTTAGTTAAATATTGCTTTCCCGTATATTCTGTATTTTCTTCTTTTGGATTTCCCGTGGCACAGAGTGGGACTTCTGAGTCGTATTTCTGATGTCACTTTACTTTTCATTTCACACCTTCCAGTGCACTATCCCACTATTTGTACTCCCTGTATTCTGAGAGGGTTTGACTTTCTACTTCACGATTACCCTCTTTTACTTTTAGGGATTTAATATGGAGAGGTGAAGACTGTGACATGTTATTAGTCTGATACTTTTGAAACTGAAAATCCTGTATTCTTTCCTTTTTTGGTTTCGCTAATCCTCACTCATTATTTAGAGAGAGAGAGAGAGAGAGAGAGAGAGAGAGAGAGAGAGAGAGAGAGAGAGGAGAGAGAGAGAGAGAGAAAGAAAAAGAAATACCATTGTAAGAGAGACACATCGATTGGTTGTCTCCTGATGCACCCCAACCGGGCTGGGGATTGAATATGCAACCAGGTATGTGCCCTTGACTGGGAATTGAACCTGCGATCCTTTGGTCCAAGGGCCAGCGCTCTAATAATTGAGGCAAATCGGCCAGGACCTGTTTTCTTTTTTAATTCATGCCCTGGTTTTGCTAAGATTGACTTGTAATGTCAATACTGCGGATGGGTAGCATATAGTCACTGATGAAGAAGAAAGCTGGTGACCTTTGGGTAATTTACATCCCTATCACTGCTTCTATCATAGATCATCACCAGTTTGTTGGATTGGATTAAGTAGAACTGGAGAAGTATATTTGGGTAGGATGGGCTGAGATGTTGCTTACAATAGGGTGGTTTTGTGTACATCTGTACCTGCTTGCTTTATTCATTATTGTTCTACTCAAAATTTTTTTTGTTTACCTACAGCTCTTGCAAATTCAAACATAAAAATATTATATAAGTGAAATTAAGTAAAATTATCAAGTATTGGTGTGTTTTGGGAAAAAATGTTAGTTACAATAGGGAAGTAAAGGATTACTTTTCAGTCTCTATTTGAGTAGGCTTAGATTCGAGTAAGGGACTGAGAAAGACATAAGAGTAGTTCAGAAGGAACCAAATAGAAATTTGGAAAAATAATTTAATATATTTAGATCTCCATATTTGCCTATATTCTGCCTTTTTTCTTAAAATGTTGGTTTCCTTTCTTGACCTTTCTCCAAGCTTCATTATTATGCATTATTTTATTTATTTTGGTCATTCATGAAGCCGTTTTTACAAAATTGAGATATATTTCACATATAATATTTGCCCTTTTAAAGTATACAAATGAGTGGTTTTAATATATTCACAAAGGTATGTAATCATCATTCCTATTTAATTCTAGAACATTTTTATTACTCCAAAGAAACCACATGCCCATTAACAGTCACTTCCCATTTCTCTTCCCTGTAGCCCCTGGCAACCACAAAGTATCTTTTATTTCTGAATTTATCTATTCTGGACGTTTCTTATAAATGGAATCAAACAGTACGTGACCTTTTGTATCTGGCTTCTTTCACTTTCAGTGTTTACCCATATCGTGGCATATATCAGTACTTTGTTCCTTTTTTATATACAACATCTGTTAATCCAATCATAAGTTGATGGCCATTGTATTGTTTCTACTTTTTGGCTATTATGAACACTGCTGCTGTGAACATTCATGTACAGGTTTTTGCTTGCACATATGTTTTCATATCTTTGAATATATTCCTCGACGTGGAATTGCTGGGCCATAGGGTGACTCAGTCTTTTGAGGAACTGCCAAACTTTTTTTTCTTTTTTCAAAGCACGCCATTTTACATTCTCACCAGCAGTGTAGGAGGGTGCCAGTTTATCCACAGCCTCACCAACACTTATTATTATCTGACTTTTTTATTGTAGCTGTCTTCGTGGGTGTGGAGTGCATCTCATAGTGGTTGGGATGAGTATTTCTCTGATGGTAAATAAACAAGCATCTCTTTTGTTCATAGAGACCCTGATGAAAGGCATTGCTTTGGAATGCTAACACCAGATTCTTTTCTTGGGCAGTTGGCTCCAGGAAACCTCTACTCTTCACCCTCTAGATTCCTTGCTGATGACGTGGAATTGTACAGGTTTTCTCCCCACCCCTCACTGCCCTCCCCCAGGATGGTATGAGAGGTAGTGAAATAGCATTTTTTCAGTGTTTTGCACTTACCAAAAGCTGGCCCCTCAATGAGTGGGGTGATGTAGTTAGCACTCCCCATATTTGGAAAAGTCGAATTGTCTGTGAATCATAAATCACATCTGAGGTGGAAGTGAAACTCGTCGAATTAACCGCTGTGAAAGCGGCTCGCCCTCATTTTTGTTTTGTGGTTTTCTGCAGTCCTGGACTTCAGCGATCCCTTCAGCACTGAGGTGAAGCCGAGGATCCTGCTCATGGGCCTGAGGAGGAGCGGCAAGTCGTCGATTCAGAAAGTGGTCTTTCACAAAATGTCTCCCAACGAAACCCTGTTCTTGGAGAGCACGAATAAGATCTGCCGGGAAGATGTTTCCAACAGCTCCTTTGTGAATTTTCAGATTTGGGACTTCCCAGGACAGATTGACTTTTTTGACCCTACATTTGACTATGAGATGATCTTCCGGGGAACAGGAGCCCTGATATTTGTCATAGACTCCCAGGTAAAGCCGGTCTTGGGTACAGTGGGACAGCAGGCCCTCCCCCCCACATAGACAGTTGTTCCCCTTGGTCTAAACAATTTCCTTTGTGATCGTTTCGGTTTGGGGTTTGGCTTTCGGACTTGAGAATAGGCCTCTCTACCAAACCGGCATTTCTCAGTTGGGGCTCTCAGGGTTTGCAAAGAAGTCTCCCTTCATGCAACCCTGACCACCACGGGGTGATGTTAGGGGGCTGCGTAGTTGTGTACGTCTCAGCAAAGCACAGATCTCGGAAGCCTCACAGATGGAGGGACCACTGTGCAGGCCACAGACAGCAGTTATGGGTCCCCCCTCTGGTGCTCTCAGCAGGTTCTGGGCAACAAAAACATGTGTGTAAGTTTACCTTTTAATCGGTTTCCCGTGAAGTTAAAGTTCCAAGTATGAAATGTTTTCTTCTGAATTAAAATTATCGTAATTATTGCTAGTGCACATTAATAAAGACAGCATAAGTATTGTGTATTTTATAGGTGACTTAAATATAAAAAGTAAAATTTGAGATATAATTGTCTCTCTTAAGAAGATGAATATTTTCCCACTTAATTCATGTGTCCATGCTTGAGTAAGACAAGATTTGACATCGATTCTATTTTTGTTTGCATAGATATAAGCACTGAGAAGCCTTGCTCACATAAGTATGTAGGGGTAGAGATAGGGTGAGTTTTGGGATAGCATTCACTCAATTATTTACACTCCTTCTAAGTTATATTCTCTAAATTGCCCAGTTTTCTATCACAAAAAAATTATTTTTAGTAGACATGCTGATTGGTTCTTCTTCAACTTTGCTGAGAGCAAAGAATTGGGAACCCTTTGACTTAGTACCCAGGCATAGAGTCACTCTCTCAGTTATTCAAACCAGCCTTCTGAATTGTTACTTTGGCACCCTGGGATTTTATACCCTGAGCCCCTGTTAAAGGGGAGATGGGGAAAGAAAGCAGTGGGACCATTGGTGTGTCTGAGGCAGGTCAGTATAAGAAAGAGTACAGCCCGGCTGAGGTGGCTCAGTGGTTGAGCGTTGACCTATGAACCAGGAGGTCACAATTCGATTCTGGTCAGGACACATACCTGGTTGCAGCTCAGTCCCCAGTGGGGGGCATGCAGGAGGCAGCCGATTGATGATTCTCTCATGATTGATGTTTCTGTCTCTCTCTCCCTCTCCCTTCCTCTCTGAAATCAATACAAATATATTTTAAAAAGAAAAAAAAAATGAAAAAGTACAGGCAGCAGGATTGAGACCTTGAGGCCCTTCAAACTCTCCATGTCCAAGTATCTTAGAAAGTGTCTATGACATGTGGCCCAGCCCCAGGCCCTTCCAAGGGCTCTTTTTTGCAGCTGTGGGGGAATAAAAGGCAACAAGTCCTACAGGAATGCGCTAAACCAACCCCAAATTCAGGTCCCGACTTTTAAAAAAAATACATATTTTTATTGATTTCAGAGAGTAAGGGAGAGGGAGAGGGAGAGGGAGAGGGAGAGAGAGATAGAAACATTAATGGAGATTGAGCCTGCAGCCCAGACATGTGCCCTGACCAGGAATTGCACCATGATCGCCTGGTTCATAGGTTGATGCTCAACCACTGAGCCACACCGGCTGGGCAGGTCCAGACATTTTCCTGAAACTGTGGACCCACAGTGAGACAGGTGGGCCGAGCGCTCCCAGCCCTTGCAGGAGCACCAGTGTGGTTAGCGGGGAAGGGATGTGAAGCCTCAGTCATAATGGGTCTAAGCCCATGCTTGGAAAACCATTCTCCGAGAAGACTGCTCATGCCAGAGAGCGTTCACGGAACTAGATGTTCAATAGAATAATGAAATTCTCAACTAAAGCCTTTTCGTTTCCAGCGACTGCATTTTGTACGTCTACTGTATAAAAGGGAGGTTAGCCATATGGTTAGAGAGGGTTCTTTATTTTGTGGTGGGGTATAGAGGGGAGACTTTACATTCCAATGCCTGGTCTAGGGACAGCAGTGCCTCTCCTCCCTTGGACCCATCCAGAGGTGCGTGCTTGTAGAAGCTGCATCAGGTCCGGGGCCTGCGTCAGTCGCTGCGTTCCTGGCTGTCCCACTTTTACTGACCTGTTTTCTGGCCCATCTGTGGCCTTGGCAGTATCCCTGCCTTTCTGTCTCAGATCTGCCAGCACCATAAATTAGGGAGTCTGGAGCTGGACAGGAGCGGCCAGAGTGTGTCCGCGCTGCTGCATGGGAGGTGAGGCTCCAGGGATGTCATGCTCATCCGTCTCCTCTAAGCTCTATTTTCCCCTAAGTCACATGGCCACTGTTTCTGTAGTTGGTGTACTAGGTAGTGGCAGCCCATGGATTCCAACCAGATGATTCCTGATTTCAAGACAGTGGCTTAGTAAGTAAATACTTCAATACCATGTTGTGCTTCCCTAGCAAGAATTTAAATTTCCAAAACAAACCCATCTCAGGTGTTTGTACGATGGTTATAATGGGGCTAAAATAGGTACACTTACCTATTTTTAAACATTGCAACCATAATTTGGTTTGATTTCTACTTGAACATGGAAATGGACCTTCAGTTTGGGTTGGTAAATGTATTTTTTGTTTATTTTTGTTGTTGTTATTTATTTTTTAGCTGTAAGAAAGATAAACGGATGCTTGCAAAATTCATTTTTTTAAGTTATACTTTTAAAAAAGGTTAGGAAAAACATTGTTGAGAACTGTCGTTTACTAAAAATATATAAAGTAATTAAATCAGCAGCTTCAGAGTCTAATACACGTTTCTGCTGGAAGCAGGCTGTGAAAATTGTATTTGTGGGAATCTTTGCAGGATGTGATTACAAGACTGAAAGAGGAGCACACGTTAGGGAAGTACCTCAGCAGCACTCCAGTCATTTTCTTTATTTCTAAGCAGTGCTCTGTGCGTGGGACGCCTCATATTTTTATTTTTTGCTTGTGAATTCCTCACAGTCAGAGGATTGCCAGATAATTATATCACCAAGGAGAAAATGTGTCCTCACAGAATGTTGTAAAATAAAAGAGAATGAAAGCATTGAGAGCTCTTTCCCTCGACCTAGATGTATGAACCCCCAAACCCCCGGCAGAGCCCACAGATGCATCACATCTCCAGGCCCCGCTTCGGCCCCCTGCAGCCATTCCACCTGTGCCTGGGGGACACACACATCTATAATTCCTAGATTTAATTTGGATTGACACTAGGCATTATAGTTTTTATTTTTGTCGTAGAAGAGGGTAACAAACACAGTAGGAAAAATCATCCACAGTCCCTCTGCTCTAATAAACCAAGTATATTTTTCTTTTTAATGTCATTTGTAATTCTTGTAGCTACATACTACCACATCAGTTAGTTGGTAATCAGGCCATTTTATATACTTGGCAGGGAGGTTAGAGTAGCAATTTCTAATCCTTTGCGACTGGAATGCTCTCTTGACATTGGCTAGTTGTGCTCACAGGTCTGTCTCTTTAACTCCCCTCTTCCTTATGTTATAGACATAAGCAGTAACACTTTTTTTTGAGGTGAATAGACATATAATAAAACACCCTCGCTTTAGGTGAACAGTTCAGTGAGTTTGATCAAGGTCTATACCCTGTGACTAGCTCACAATCAAGATGTAGAATATTTCTACCACCCCAAAGCATCCCTTCATGTCATTCCTCAGCCAGTCCCCCGAACCCCAGCTCCAGGACTGCTGATGTGCTCTCTGTCACTATAGACTAGTTTGCCTTTTCTAGAATTTCACATATGTGGAATTATGCAGTAATAACTTTAGTTTTTATTTGAGATACTTTAAGGTCTTAAAAAAAAGTGCTACAAATTACTCATCTAGAATTTTTCCAAAATGCTTAATCTGCTAGCCCAGTGCCCCAAATTCCAACTTTCATTTTAAATGACTCTTTAGAGTGTGAGGATGAGAAGAGTCCATGTGCTGTTTGTCTCTCTTCACAGTTTCTTATCATTGTCTTTAATATTTTTTTTAAAATATATTTTATTGATTTTTTACAGAGAGGAAGGGAGAGAGATAGAGAGTTAGAAACATTGATGGGAGAGAAACATCGATCAGCTGCCTCCTGCACATCTCCCACTGGGGATGTGCCCGCAGCCCAGGTACATGCCCTTGACCGGAATCGAACCTGGGACCCCTCAGTCCGCAGGCCGATGCTCTATCCACTGAGCCAAACCGGTTTCGGCTGTCTTTAATATTTTGATTTACCTAGAAGAATGCCAGAACATCCCCTGTCTTATTGGCTTCCTGTATTGGTCCAAGTTTGGAGTCAGAATAGGGGTGAAAAGTCCTTTGAATTCTGTCCTGCAGATCCCTTTCCTTTCTTTGCTGTAACAGTAAGACCTGCTCATACCTTCAAGTTGGCAATAATTAAGACATCTGACAACGCTGAGTGTTGGTGAGGGACTGGAGCATCCAGTGCTCTTACACATTATCTAGTCAAATTCAAGGTGCTCCTTCCTAGGACCCAACAGGTTGGCCTTCAGGGTAAGCCCCCCAAAACTCACAAACAGACACAAAGATGCATGTATGAGACTGTCCACATTATTACTGTCTGGAAACATTCTGAATGTCCATCAACAGTTATCAACAATGATAAATTATAGACCATCCATACAATGAAACTTTATAGAGCTGTTAGAAGGAGTTATGGCCTGGCCGGCATGGCTCAGTGGTTAAGCATCAGTCTGTGAACCAGAAGGTCACAGTTTGATTCCTAGTCAGGGCACATGTCATAGTTGTGGGCTTGATCCCCAGTTGGGGTGTGTGCTGTAGGCAGCCAATCGATAATTCTCGCTCATCATTGATATTTCTATCTCTCTCTCCCTCTCCCCTCCTCTCTGAAATCAATAAAAAATATATATATTTTTAAAAAGAGTTATACACTTCAATGTAGGTGAATCTCACTGACATAATGTTGGGTGAAAAAGGCAAACTATAATATACATGTAATGATATTTTTATAAAATTTAGAACAACGAAAGTGAATTGTGTATATTGTTTAAAGGTAGATATGTATGTAGTAATGTATCAAGAGACGAGTGAGAATAGACACTAAACTTGGGGTAGTGCTACCTCTGGAGGGTAGGGGGTAGAGTGATGGAATAGAAGGGAGGAGGGGGAGAAACACACAGGGCTTCAGTATCTAATGTTTGATTTCTTTTTAAATATTTTTACTGATTTTAGAAAAAGGAAGAGGGAGGGAGGGAAGGAGGGAGAGAGAGAGAGAGAAAGAGAGAGAGAGAGAGAGAAAATCGCTGTGTAAGAGAGAAACATTGATAAGCTGCCTCCTGCAAATGAACCTACAACCCAGGCATGTGCCCTGATCAGGAATTGAACCAGCAACCTTTTGGTGCATGGAACAACACTCAACCAACTGAGCCACACCGACCAGGGCTAATGTTTGATTTCTTAAGCAAAGAGATACATAGTATATAGGTGTTTATTATATTATTATACTAGAGGCCCAGTGCATGAAATTCATGCGTGGGTATGGTCCCTAGGCCTGGCCTGCCACCAGGGCCATCTTCCCTAGCTGCCCACAGCCAGCCTGTTCCTCGCCACAACCCATCCTCGGTTCTCTGTTCACCATCAGGTGATCGGTGCCTGACGGCTGGGGAAGGGACCGAGAGGTCAGCTGTTCCCGCCTGCTCGCTGGCCCCGCCCCCACCACGGGTGGCCATCAGGCAATCAGAGCCTGCCATCCGGAGAAAGGGACCAGGAAGGGGTCAGTGTGCCTCATAGTGACTGGTCCAGCAGTCGTTCTGGTCTTTCTGCCATTAGGGTCAATTTGCATATTACCCTTTTATTATATAGGATAGGTATCATCTGTAGGAAGGAGGAAAATAGTATTGTTTTACTTGGGGCAATGATTGTAGACATATTCTATGAAGGGCCAGATGGTAAATATTTCAGACTTTGCAGGCTATACCATTTCCACAGAGAAAAACTACTCAGCTGCCATTGTAGCATGAAAGCAGCATAGATGCTATGTAAACAAATGAGTGTGGCTATGCTCCAATAAAACTTGACTTACAAACAACATCAGGCATGGGCCCAATTTGGCTGCTCTAGACCAGTGGTTCTTAAAAGTTTTTCCTCCTGGCTCCTTCCCCAGTGACCCATATCATATTTTCATCTCTAACTGCTCATCACAGTTGACCAAGAGATTAAAAAATCTGGAAGGAATTGTATTCCAGAGGAGGTCCTAGGTGACCTTTGTGAATTTTCGATTCACAGAACTGCAGCTCTGATCTTTATGACTGTCACCAAGATAGCCATAAGAGCCTACAGCTGGTTTTTCTGGTCTTTCTTTTTCATCTCCTTGTTAACAAAACTTACATTTTCGATCTTAAATTCTATAAAACCAGCTTTCATTGGGCTTTTGAAAAATATTTTTGGACGTTGTACGCAGATGGTTTCCAAATTAAGAAAGAATGTGGAGCCCTAGCTGTTGGCTCAGTAGATAGAGCGTCGGCCTGCGGACTGAAGGGTCCCAAGTTCGATTCTGGCCAAGGGCACATGCCTGGGTTGCGTGTTGATCCCCAGTAGGGAGTGTGCTGGGTTGTGGGCTCAATCCCCAGTAGGGGGCATGCAGGAGGCAGCCGATCAATGATTCTCTCTCATCGATGTTTCTATCTATCTCTTCGTCTCTCTTCCTCTCTGAAATCAATAAAGAAATATATTAAAAAGAAAGAAAGAATATGGGAAGGAAAAACATGGTTCCCTGTGAGGCAAGGTGCTGGGAAAGTTAGTTAGCTTGAGTGAGGGTATCATTTCACAACATGTGCCTTTTATCAAAACATCCCATTGCACACTTTTTTTTCTTATTTATTGATTTTTTTTTTGAGGGGGTGGGGAAAGGAGAGAGAGAAACATAACGTTTGTTGTTCCACTTTTTTATGTGTTCCTTGGTTGGTTCTTGTATGTGTCTTGATTGGATATCGAACCCTCTAGGTTGCCTTATGGGGACTCTGCTCTATCCAGCTGAGCTACCCGGCCAGGGCCTCCTATTGTGCACTTTAAGTATATGCGATGTCTATTTGTCAAGCATCCCTCAGTAAAGCTGGGGAGGTATGTGAAAGGCAGCTGAGCAGAGTTTCGAAAGCGAAGCCGCCTCCCCTGACAGGACGGTGCCTTTGTTCCCAGGACGACTACATGGAGGCCCTGGCCCGGCTGCACCTCACGGTGACCAGGGCCTACAAAGTGAACACCGACATCAACTTCGAGGTGTTCATCCACAAAGTGGATGGTCTGTCCGACGACCACAAAATTGAAACCCAAAGAGATATTCATCAGCGGGCAAACGATGACCTCGCAGACGCTGGGTTAGAAAAGATTCACCTCAGGTGAGAACAGAAACCCCTCAGGGATCCCTGTCATGGACGGAAAAAGCAGAGTTGGGGTCCAAAGTCACCACAAGTGGTTCACCCTATTTCGGACTGTGGACATTGGGATGGTATTTGGGTAAAACAAGCTTTCCACGTGACAATTCTAATCTTTGGGAAAAAGAGTGGGGTTTAAAAATAATAAATTTCTTTTTTAAATAAGTGGTCAAAGCTAAGGTTCCTCCCCTATTTGAGAAACACATAACATAAAATCCATGGACATAATCCAGGAGGTTAATTGAAGCTGAAGTTTACAGTTCTTGATAAATATGATAGGTTCTAACTCTGAAGATAATTCAAATAGAAATGCTCAGGAAAACCACTTCATCATTTTTTGTGGAAAATGAAAAACGTAGGTACTTCAATATGAATAATGTCACTGTTACTAGCCCATGAGGTGTGTGTATAGATGACCTGGTATGCATTCTCTTGCAGAATATAAGGAAGCTGGTATGGACACAGACAGTGCATTTTTTTTTTTTAATATGGAACGCTTCACAAATTTGCATGTCATCCTTGCGCAGGGGCATGCTAATCTTCTCTGTATCGTTCCAATTTTAGTGTATGTGCCGCCAAAGTGAGCACTACATTCTGTTTTTAAGCTTTCCACTCCAGCCAGTCAGCAGATGAGAATGGACACAGTTCTTGTTTTTTGGGTGTTGGGAGGAAATGGCCCGTTAAGACATGTTCAGTTTTTACCAAGGCTGTTTCAATTTCTGAATGTGTGCCTAAGGAGTGTAGATACAGAAGGCAAGTACTGGTGTTATGACAGCCTAAGCAGTCTATTCCCCAGTCAAGGGGAAAATGTAATGAAATATTGTTTCCTCTTTCAGCTTTTATCTGACAAGCATATATGATCATTCAATATTTGAAGCTTTTAGCAAAGTGGTTCAGAAACTAATTCCACAACTCCCCACCCTGGAGAACTTGCTAAACATCTTTATCTCTGTAAGTAAATAATATCATCCTGTGAGCGTCATTTGCAGAATTTAAGAATAACATTGCAAGAATGAAAACGATCTTATTTCTGCTTACTTTTTACAGCAGCATTTCAAGGTCACAAAGTATGTACTTTTGGAGGTTGATCCAGAGATTATTTTAGGCCCTTTAAATTTTAACTCCCAAAATGGATGCCTGTATTTTAATGATATAATTGGAGTGTTTATTCAAATTGTAGGCAATCATTCAATGTTAATAGAGCCTTACCAGAGGTAGAGGATATAAAAGTTGGTTTGGCGATAAGATATAAACTGTTAACACTGAATGAGTCCTATAAACCACCAGCTCTCGTCCAGCTCTGCGGAGTAGCATTAAGGCAGACCTGTTGGTTGTACGCACATGAATCCTCACCGCACAGTTTGGAATTTGCTTGTTTAGATTTCTTAAATTTATTTTTAAATTTAAAATCAGTATAATTAGTGTTTTTACTCGGCCACCACTCAGTTTGTTTGCCTACAGAAAATAATTTGGATAATTCCACTTTTCATTTTCTATGCAAGTCCATTATAAAGAAGTATATGACAGTGAGGTTTAAATTGTAATAACATGGAACAACCTAAAATTACAGTAACTTAATTTTTGCTTGTTTATTTTTCACATAGAGGATGGCATGTCGTTTTATAGAACCATGACCTGGTTTGAAATCAGCTGTTGCTTTAAGTCAGCATCTTCTTTTTGTTTCAGAATTCTGGAATTGAAAAGGCATTTCTATTTGATGTGGTCAGTAAAATTTATATTGCAACTGATAGCACCCCAGTAGATATGCAAACCTATGAGCTCTGCTGTGATATGATTGATGTGGTGATTGACATCTCTTGTATTTATGGGTAAGTAAGGCATTCTTAAAGGCTAAAAATCAAGCCATGCTTCTCTTTCAGAACCTTTGAGACATTTTGCATTTACTTATTTGATTTTAATACTTTTGTTTTAAATGACTGAGCTCTGTAAATAAATATACCATTTAGCATGCAATAATAATAACAACAAATAATTATTGCGTAAATTCCTGGCATTATGCTAAGAATCTCATTGCACATATTATATCATTTAATTCTCCTCTACTCCATGAGGCAGGAATTACTACCCCCACTTTAAGGATGGGAAAACTGAGGTTTACACTGGTTATGTTTCTAATCTTTGCTCACACTGTCAATAAGGGCTGGAACTAGAATTTGAACTTCAGCCTAACTGATTCCTGGAGTTTCTCTACTGAAAATCTGTCATCATACTATAATGTCTTATATACTTGGGACAGACTAATAGGATCATTGAACTCTAAATATCTCATGTTAACAACAGTTCTATTATCTTCTTCATTATAGGAGATAACTACTGGGTTGTTGTTTTTAAAATATACTTTTATTCTTATTATTCAATTACAGTTGACATTAAATATTATAGTTTCAGGTGGTTAGCATAGTGATTAGACATTTACATAACTTACAAAATGATCCCTTCAACAATATTCTTTTTGATTATTTTTTATTGTGAGCAGCAGGGAATTTTAAAACTAAGCAAACAGCATTGCCTGTTTACTATTAAGGTCTTACATTCTTAGAAAATAGTTTTTTACACTTAAAATCATAAAATAAATAAGGAGTGGGGAAAGTTGATTGTGTTACCAGACATAGAAACAATTCCACATAATTATAAATTTGCTGAATGGGTGTCATACAGAATGAATGGGTATGAACTAATTTGTTTATCTTATTAAGATACCAAGTTGTCTGTTTATGTTGGATTTATGTCTTCATCCAATCATTGATTACTTGAAGCTTTTGTTCATCGTCCTCTTTACTCACTGTGACCTGCTTTATACAACCTCCTCTTCCGTGACAGTCTCGTCTCGCCATTTCTGTCTTCCACTGTTTGAAAATCCTTTGCCAACTCAGTTTAGATTCTCTGTTAACTCTGTTATACATACTAATACACATGAAAACACAGTGCCTTCTGTTATGAAAACGGGAAAGTGAATCTTCACAGGACTATAGTGAGAAAGAAATAATTAGGTTTCACCTGGTAAACCCTGGATAAATGTAGCTGCTATCATCATCATCATCATCATTATCATTATCAAACACTGCCATTCGGCTTTAGAAATAGGCCATGTTTCCTAAGATTATTTCCCTACAGTTATTTTTAAACTGTAAAGTGAATGACCTTGAAATAGCCACGGAAGCTGAATGTACTCTGATTATAGTCTAGATTGCTGTGGTAATCAAATACAATGAACAACACAACTGATCTGGTTCATATTTAACAATATGCATAATCATGATTGTGCCATAAGCTAACTAGACGTAAGTGGTAAGTAGTTCTTGTAAGGATGTTGATCAGAGTTACTTTTACCCAGCTGAAACAAACATGGGCAGCGTTGAGAGGAGGAGGGAGCTGGATCCTGCCATCACATTGTTTTCCTGTGTAGAGTGCAGTGTTCCTGAGAACCTACCAGGTTCAGTGAGAACCAGTCTTGGTCACAAATGGCCCTGTGGTTTTCCTCAGACATTTGCTGGCCAGGCAAGGAGCCAGCCCAGCTAAGAGGGGGAGGGCTAGCGATGTGTGCGGCAGCCTAGGAAGCAGGCTCCCTGCCAGTTCCCAGCTGCTCCCTGGAGACCAGTAGGGGTTAGAAGCAGGTGACCTGGTACCTCAGTGCACTGCTCAGGAATCTCAGCTGAGCTTCTGCTACGGCTAGTCAGCTCTGCACACACACACACACACACATATACACACACACACACGTTAAAACACAAAGCCATCCTCATGTGTTTTTATGTAGATGGCAATATAAGTAATAGAAAATAGTTGTTGTAGTCGTAAAAACTCACCAGTTTCTACTTGTAATATTTTTGGCCTTTCTTTTTCCAATTTGTTTAATGTTTACTTTTTCTGAATGTGAATGTAACCCATGTTCATTGCAGAAAATATGTAAAACTATAAAGAATAACATTAAAATAGCCACAATCTTATCACCTAGTAACAATCACTAACATTTTTATATATTTTATTCTTACTGTTGTGTAATTTTTAGGATAATGTGGTCACTTTGTATATTTAACATTATATCCTGCTTTTTTCACTTAACATTATCACAAGAATTTTCCTGTGTAAAAAAACCACTATCTATATAGCATCCTATCTAATAAAGAGAGAATATGCTAATTGAACCTCACGCTGTTGCAAAGATGGTGGTGCCCACAGCCAATAAGGAGGGAATATGCTAATTGACTGCCTTGCCCTCAAAGATGATGGCACCCACAGCCACAAGATGACGGCGCCCAGCCCCCTCAGCCCCGGCGGGGTGGCAGGTGCGGCAAGGCCAGGCCTGGCCCCAGGCGGACCTGGCCGCTCCGCGTGCCTGCCTCCGGAGTCCCCCAGCCCCTCAGTCCCCTAGCCACCTAGGGCCGGCCCGAGGCATAGGCAAGCCTCAGATGGCGGCTTCCCAGCCTCTGAGGGCCGCCGGAGGCTCAGGTAACCAGGGCCGGCTGAGGCTTGCACTGCCAGCAGTGGCAGCAACAGAGGTGTGATAGGGCGTCGCCTTCCCCTGATCACCGGTTTGCCTCCCGCCCCTGAGGGCACCTGGACTGTGAGAGGGGGCAGCCAGGCTGAGGGAACCCCCCTCCAGTGCATGAATTTTCATGCACTGGGCCTCTAGTAGTAGTATATTTATTTGGAAATTTTAAATGCAGGTTTCTTCATTGCTTAACTCTAAAATTAGATGAGTTTGCAGTCCTGGCTGTACCCCCATCATCAGTTTTGACCAAGTTATCTTATTTTCCCAACCTCACCTCAGTTCCTCAGCACTGAGGATTCTTGTGCCAGACAATATAATGCATAGTAAGAACCAGGAACGGTGCCCATCACAGAATACATGTTTAGTAAATGCTGGCTCTTACTACACAAAATGGTAAGGATCATCAGCAGCTGAGTTAGTATGCTTATCTATAATAATAAAAGTGTAATATGCTAATTAGACTGGACGACCTTCCAGATGAAGCCGGGACTGCGAGGGCCTGCGAGGGCCTGCGAGGGCCTGTAAGGGCTGAGGCAGCTGCCACCGTTGCCTCAGGCAGCTGCGAGGGCCAAGCCCCTTGCACGGCTTTCGTGCATCAGACCTCTAGTGTATTAATAAGGCTTATTTAGCAAAATTACAATTAAATCAGATTTCTGGTCAAGTATTTATGTTTGGGAAGCAAAAATAAATCAGAAAATGTATGCATGGTTTCACATAAGGGGAAGAGGTACAGGGAAGTGCTCCTTTGCCCATGAGGAAAGGATGCATAATTCTTTGATTACATCAGTGTTTCGAAGGGTCCAGTTTCAGTCATTAAGGCTGTGGGGACTCAGAACTAGTCACCCCAAGATATGTCTCTGTGGTATGCAGGTTGTTTCTTGAGCTAAAGGCAACTTTAGCCTCCGGTTCAAGATAAATTTCTGCCCCACCCTTAACTACCTAGAAGAACTTGAATTAGGGGCCTTGCATATAATAAAAGACTACCGGTGATAACCTTTTTTAAAAAATATATATTTTTATTGATTTCAGAGAGGAAGGGAGAGGGATAGAGAGATAGAAACATCACAGATGAGAGAGAATCATTGATCAGCTGCCTCCTGCACGCCCCCTACGGGGGATCGAGCCCGCAACCCAGGCACGTGCCCTTGGCTGAAAAACCTGGGACCCTTCAGTCCGCAGGCGGACGCTCTATCCACTGAGCCGAACCGGCAAAGACAGTTGTCGGCAAACCATGGCTCGCGAGCTACATGCGGCTCTTTGGCCCCTTGAGTTTGGCTCTTCCACAAAATACCACGACCTCAACGAACATACCTCTCCTGCATGTGGGGTCTCTGATTCTCTCATGTATGCAGGGTTCCCATACTATGTAGATATTAAATTTGGTTATTTCCTCTTGCTCATCTGTCTAATGTGTATTTATTAGACCAGTCAGAAGAACCTTGAGCACGGAGGAAAATGTATTTCTCCCCGATAAAGTCATAATAATAATAATAGCAGTTAACATTCATTATGCATACTACATGGTCTCAGCACTATTCTCGGTGCTATATATGTATTATTTCATTACATTAGGAAACTTTGAAGTAATTACTGTTAGAATACAGATGAGGAAATTGAGGCTCAAAGAAGTTACTTAACTTGCCCATAGTAAGTAAGTAAGCTGGGATACAAACCCAAGTCATCTGTGTCTGCGGCCAAGTGAAATAAGCCAGTCAGAGAAAGACAAGTACCATATGATTTCACTCAGTGTGGAATCTAATGAACAAAATAAACTTAACAAAACAGAAAAAAAACTCATAGAGAACAGACTGATCGCTGTCAGAGGGGAGGGGAGTTGCAGGGCTGGGCGAAAAGGTGTAGGGATTAAGCAAAATAAAAGAAAACAGAAAACACCACTCCTAGACATAGGCAACAGATTACCAGTGGGAAAGAAGGTTGGGGAAGGTAGAAGAGGGTATAAAGGTGCTCAATGGTGATGGAAGGTGACTTGACTTGGGGTGGTGAACACACAATACAATGTACAGATGATATATTATAGAATGCTACACCTGAAATCTATATAATTTTATTAACAAATGTCACCCCAATAAATTCAATGAAAAAATAAAAATAAAACAAAAAAATTAGACTAATCTATTAACTTTTTATTTTAAAAAGATTTCAAACCTACAGAAAATGTGCAAGGATAGTACAATGAATTCCTATAAACCTTCATTGGGATTCACCATTTTTATCAATTTGCCCTATTTGCTATCTCCCTCTATTTCTATTCCATATTGTTTGTTTGTTTGTTCTGAACTATTCGGGAGTAAGTTGCAGACATCATGGTTCTTTGATCCTCGTTACTTGAGCATCTCTCTCTTAAGAACAAGGACATTCTTTACAGTTTAATGATCCAAGTAAGCATATTTAGCATGGCTACTTCACTCGATTATCTAATATACAGTCCATATTCAAATTTTACCAGTGGTCCCACTTCTACCTTTTATATCAGTTTTCCCCTGCAATTCAACCTCTAATTCAGCATTTGGCTGTCATGTGTCTTTAGTCTTCTTTCATTTGGAACAGTTCTTCAGTCCTTGGTCTTTCCTCAGACCGTGCCTTTGACAGCCTGGTTATTTGATTATGAGAAACGCTTGAGGGCCACGGAGTGGGGGAGAACTAAGCCCGCAGTCCCTCACCTGTGTTCTGCAGGTGTGTGGGGGGTTGCCCAGCTGCCACAACAGCCACTCCTTGTGTCAGTAGGAAAGTGACTGTCATACACTCTACATTCTTGTGATTGTGTGTTTCTGAGATCTTTAGCTGAAAGATCTGAATGGGTAGGCTAGTTTTAATACATTCAAAGAAGTAAATCATTCTGTGTTAAAGCTGGTTTCTGTTGTCGGGTTACAATTTATAGTTCTTTCTCGATGGTCAAATATGTGTTTTGGTTTCTGTCCCCATTTAGTCTCAAAGAAGACGGAGCAGGAACCCCCTATGACAAGGAATCAACAGCCATTATAAAGCTGAATAATACCACAGTTCTTTATTTAAAAGAGGTGACAAAGTTCCTGGCTCTTGTTTGCTTTGTCAGAGAGGAAAGCTTTGAAAGAAAAGGTAATTATGTGTGTGTGATTCAGACTAATACTGTCTTCACTGCCTGTTGAATGTGGGTGGGGAGCAGCGTGCCTCTTGAAGTTTGTAGACTTGAGTCACAGGCCCCCTTGATCAGTCAGCTTTGGAGACCCGTGAACCAGCCTGCCCTCTAGTGAAAGCTGCTGTGAGGTGGAAGTGGACGCAACCATCCACCAGGGGCCTCAGGTTTCCTGCGGGTGCAGCTAGCTGGGGTGCTGCCCGTCTGTAGAGTTCCTTACCAAGGGGAGGCCCCCAGCCTACAGCGAGGGCCGTGGCCTCCCTCTTGGGCCACACCTCCCGAAGGTTTTAGGGACATGTGACCACTTGTACTCCCATGTGAAGGAGGGGACTCATACAACATCAAAGCTAGACGGTATTTAACTTGTGTTCAGCCTCTGTATTCTTTAGTCCTCAAAACACAGAGATGGCACCATGATCCTGAAAACAGAAGACATGAAAACACTTAATAATAATATCACCAGATATCTTTTTAGTTTTATTTTAAAACCAAAGCAATTAACCTCATAAAAATATTCATTTTTTCTCTTGCTACCTAATCTGGGTAATACCTTACTGCTGCTGCTATGAATTTTTTGCAACTAGGAAATGATTTACCAATTTGTTTGGTAAAAATATTCCCAACAAAGTGGCAATAATAACATTGACTGAAAAAGCCTTTTTTCCTTATAAAGCGATACGTGTTTATTTTAAAAATACTTAGAAAATTTAGGAATGTATAACAAAAACAAAATAAAACCACTCAATTCCACCATTTAGAGTTAAACCCCATGCTAAATTTCAGAAATGCGCTTTCTTTCTCCTTTCCTTCCTCTCTTCCTTCACCTGTTCTTTCCTTCCAACAAAAGTGGGGTCAGGTGATTGTCTATATAGTTTTATATCCTGTTGTTTTCAAATTCATTGAGCATGAAAACATAATTTAGATTTTTTTAAATTATAAAAGCAATAGATTCGCTTAGAAAATTTATAAATAACAAATAAGCAAAAAAGAAATAATTACTGATAAACTTCTCACTCAGATCCTCAATATTTTCTGTATCACTTTCCAGCCTTTTTCACATATATATCTATTATCTTTATATAGGAGATTGTATGATAAATCCTACTTTATAACCTTCACTTAAATTATTATAGACATCTTTCCAACTTACTAAATCTTTTTTCCACATCATTTTTAGATTTTGATGTTATGAATAATCTATGATGACCCTCTTTGCACTAAATATTTTTGTACATCTTTGGTTGTTTCCTCAGGAAAAGCTTTCAACGAATGGAATTACTTAGATCAAAGGGTAGGCATGTTTTGGTGGCTTCTAATGCATCGTTACCAAAATGTCCTTTAGAAAGACTTTATGGGTTTACGCTACTAAGAGAATATGAGCGTGTCAATTTTGCTTGTAGTTTCAATATTGAGTATTAGCATTAAAAATTTATAATTGAGCCCTAGCCACTTTGGCTCAGTGGATAGAGCATTGGTCTGTGGACTGGAGTTGTCCCGGGTTTGATTCTGGTAAAGGGCATGCACCTCAGTTGCAGGTTGCAGGCTCAGTCCCTGGTCCTAGTTGGGGCAAGTGCACGAGGCAACCAATTGATGTTTCTCTCTCTCTCTTTCCCCCTTTCTTCCACTCTCTCTAAAAATCAATGGAAAAATATCCTCGGGTGAGGATTAACAGCAACAACAAAAATGATAATTGAGCCCTGGCCAGTGTGGCTCAGTTGGTTGGGTGTTTGATTCTCAGTCAGGGCACATACCCAGGTTGCAGCTCTATCTCCGGTGGGGGGGGGGGGGGCATACAGGAGGCAGCCAACCGATGTTCTGCTCTCACATTGATATTTCTCTCTTCTCCCTTCCTCTCTCTCTAAAAATCAATAAACTATTTAAAAAATTGATTATTGAAAACTGGTATATCATTTAAGTTTACATTTCCTTGCTTCTTACTGAAGTTATGCATGTATTTTCCCCATATTTACCTACTATTGCCAACCAAATTGCCTTTTGTGTCCTTGTCCTGTAAAATTTTTAATTAAATGGTGTTAATCTTTTACTTTTTATTTTCATCTTGCTGAAAGTAAGAACAGATTATATAATAAATCCATGGAATTTTGAAGATAGGACCATACCTTGTTTCATTCTCAATTACAGATGATTTTACCCAGACTCAGGACATAAGAGATTTCCCCCAATATAACGTCATACCGCCAGTGTATGGCAGTCAGGCCTAAAGATTCCTGTGGTTCTCTCTCTTTGGGATCAGTGTTGTATATTGTTTAAAACCATTATATGTATATTTTCTTGGTTAAAGATACTCCAGAATTTATATCTGATGATTAATATTTCATGTTGATTTTGGAAGCTAATAAAAGTTATACAAATAGTACAACTACAGCCCCCCAACCATCTAGGATGGTGGCAGTTTCTAAAAGGAATAATTTTGAACCAATTTTAGACTTCCAAAAACTTCTTAAAACTGTGATTTACATATACTCCTCATCCAGCTTCCCCAAATGTTAGCATCTTACATACTATAGCACAGTTTTCAAAACTAGGGAATTGACATCAGTATAATGCTATCAATGAAACTACAGACCTGTGCAGAGTTCACCAGTTTTTCCAAAAATACCCGTTTTCCGCTTCAGGATCCAAAATTGATTTAGTTGCTATTTCTCCTGGTCTCCTCCTATCTGTGACAATTTGTCTTCCATGGTCTTAACACTTTTGAAGAGCACTGACCAGTTATTTTGTAGACTGTCCCTCAGACTGGGCTTGTCTGAGATTTTTCACACAGTTGGAATGAGATAATGCACTTTGGTTAGAACACCACACAGTCCTGGCCAGCGTGGCTCAGTGGTTGAATGTTGACTTATGAACCAGGGGGTCACGGTTCCATTCCTAGTCAGGGCACATGCCTGGGTTTCAGGCTCTTGATCCCCAGTGGGGGTCATGTAGGAGGCAGCCAATTGATGATTCTCTCTCTTATCATTGATGTTTCTCTCTCTCTCTCTCCCTCTCCCTTCCTTTCTGAAATCAATAAAAGTATATTTAAAAAACACCACACAGAAATGATGTGTGTCTTTCTCTTTGCATCACATCAAGTGGTTAATGGTGTCTTGTTGCTGGTGACGCTGATGTTGACTTGGCTAAGGTAGTTTCTGCCAGTTTTTCCACTGGAAATTCCCTACCTGTCCCTTTGTCATTAATACATGCTTTCAAACTGTGCAACTCCTGTTTCTTCTCACACTCTTGCCCACTAATTATAACCTTCACTGTGGCTAGGCAGACTTTGTAGAACTTCTTAAACTAAATAGAAACTTAGGTGTTAATGTCATAACTAATAAATGTAAATAAATAGGCAGACTGGGTGTAACCCCATCATGTTAAACATGCACGCTTTTTTTACGGTGACCAACCATCTCTGTTTGTCTGGGACCATGGGGGTTCATGGGACAGTAGACCTCCAGTAAAACTGGGCAAACCAGATGAGGTGGACATCTTATCTATTAGGCAGCTGTCTTTAAAAAGAACTTAGGCTTATAAATGCATGGAGTAGTTTGATTTATTTTGTTGCTTTAATTTTGTATTGCTGAGTCCTATTGGTGCTGATAATCAACACTTGGTGATTAGCTTTTCTCCATGTTTGTCTTCATCTGAGTTTTCATTAAGGGTCCCTGTGACAGCTTTGGCAGAGGAGATAGAATTGAAAGCAGATGCAGGACACTCCGCCCTAGATGCACATTATAGGCACCTTGGGATGGGAGGCAGTTAAAAAATACGGACATCTGGGTCCTCTTCCATGTAATTAGAATAGAATTCCTGGGAGGGAGGCCTGGGGTTTGTTAATATTTTTGAACTTCCTTGGATATTTTTAATGCCCAGCTAGGGTGAGAACCACTGAACCAGAGAAAGGTGTGGGACCATCCTACAACTGGGTATGGTGGGGAAGGTAGTCCTTATTCTGTTCATGTCACTCTTGTATTTTCAATGAAAGGGTTGAAATAAATAGCAAACTCTTTTTCTGAGTGCTTACTTCCTTTGAAAACCCCAGTTGTGAATTTTTACCATTTTACTTTTAAAACTCCACATGCAGCAAGATTACTGTTTTTAAAATTTTGCACATTTAAAAATGTGCAAAGATGACTAAGTTAAGATTTGTCAAAAACTATCAATAGGATGTCTCTGCAATTTCCCACGTTGAGTATTTGATTCACTCGTCCCATTGAAGCAGTCAAGCTGAGCTTTCTTCCTAAGGCAGTTAGTTGCACATATGATAGGCAGAGATTTGTAAGGTTGTTCTAACATCTCATTTCCAAATTCCCACTAAGTAACATCTCTTCTTTGTGCTTTGTTTTTCATTTCTGCCTTATGCTGCTTTGTTTCTTACTTCTGCCTTATTGCCTCATTGGTTTTATTTTTCTCAAACTGGATGCGTGGCCACTACCACTGCAGAAGCAGCAGAGGGCGCTGCTCCGAAGGTTTCCTGCTCCTGGAAGCTGAGGTGGGGGTTCCTCCAGTTCGCTCGCACTTGTATAACTAGTTTGAAGTTTCAGTCCTTGGCTGGAATTTCAATTCTTTCTTTGGGTTTCTGGAAGCATCACCTTAGTGGATGGAAATAATGGTTAGGCTAGTTGTTTTAATAAGTTAAAGATAGTAAATAAGGACCAACTGCCTATTTTAATTAGTGTAAACATTAGCCACAACACTAATAAACTAGTGGTGAGGATGAAAAATACACTTAAGACTTTGCATTCTCTTTTATTCTATTTTTGTACTACTAATTAATTTCTGAAAATACAGTAAGATTCTACCCTACTGTTTCTCCATTAAAAAAAAATCTTTATTGTTGAAAGTATTATCCATTTTAAATTTACATGATATTGAAGAACTGAGAGTGTCATTGGTTGTTGAATTCCTGAGCTTGAGTTGACTGCTATCACTCTACTGGTAAAACCAGGGACTGGGCCTTCCCCAGGACTTATGACAATGGTTTAAATACAATATACATCCCGTAAATATTGATTGATTACTTATAATATACATCCCGTAAATATTGATTGATTACTTATAATATACATCCCGTAAATATTGATTGATTACTTGATTGATACAGTGGCTTTGTTATCTCAGCCACACTCCAAGTCAGGGTCTCCCTCCACATAGAGTCAATTTAATAATGCCTTCTAGGGAAAAGTAATAAGTATTTCATTGAAGATAATAACTTCATTGTAAAAAATCTTTAATTCTGAAAGGTCAAAAAAATGTGTTCACTTGGCTCTTCAAATGTGTTGGGTCATAGACACCTTTGAAAATGTGGTATATACTCTGGGAACTTTTCTTAGTGAAAAATACACATTCACAAGATCTTGCCTGCGATTCCTGAGGACCAGCTGCAGACTTCCCCCATTCAGTCTTTGGATCTTATGTTAAGGCCGCTTCTCTACTGCCCCCTACTGGTTGATCCTTGTCATGGTCGACATGAAAAGATGGATATTATTTCTTTCTATGTGACATTGCTAAATATTTTTGGCTTTCTTCTCCAGGGCTTATTGACTATAATTTTCATTGCTTCCGGAAGGCCATCCATGAAGTTTTTGAGGTGAGAATGAAGGTGGTGAAATCGAGAAAGGTTCAGAATCAACTGCAGAAGAAAAAAGGAACCACCCCCAACGGGACCCCTAGAGTGCTGCTGTAGGTGAGGTTTCAGGAACACCTTTTGAAATCAGGCCTTTCAGTGAGGCTGCTGCACTGTGTTGCACTAAAGGAAGAGGAAGAAGAGATTGGGACACAGAACATAAATTTGTTGTAAAAATAAAAATCCTGTGACCCTTTTGATCTTTTCTTTTTTAAATAAAGCAAGCACTTTGAAGCAAAAACTTGTATACTAATAGTGAAGTTAAATCCACTGTAATTTCATGACATAAATGTACACTTTTATGGTCTGTAGTCAGAACAATCCTGTGTGAGAACTGCCAGGAACTGTATATATTTTGCACTTTTTCATTGAACTAAACTTTGATAAAACTTTTGTAAGCTTTTTCTGTACTTGGTGTGAAGGACATGCATACTGTAGTTCTTAGCTATGGCAATCAGAAATTAAAAAAGTAATGCATTAGCAATGACTTTTATAAACTTGGGAATCTTTGCTACCAGTTGTTGAGGAAAAAAAATCATTTTTCAGTGGAGATGGTACAGATTGGGGCAGCAAGCTGTAGGAGCAATGAGAACTGTCCCTTGTTTGTAACTAATATACTTAAACGGGAGTTTTGATGAATAATATTAGCACCAAACTTATCTAAAAATTTCTATAGCTTTGGCAGTGCTTCCCTACTCAACAGTTTTTACAAAGCTCTTTACCTCAACACACATCTCTATAATCATTTTATACAGAGAGGTGGTTTCTTTTTGCTGTATTACTGTTCTTTAGTACCTTTGGGACCAGATTTCCAAAATGGTGCCGATCACTGGAGACAAATAAGAATGTCATTGAATTGCAGGGACTCTGGAGGCTTTTTGTACCTGCCACCCAGGCTAGAGTAACATCAGAGGACACGTGGTTTCCCAAATGTAGGTGATTGACAACTGCAGATATAAAAATAGATACACAATTCTGTATGTTTGGCCCCTGTGAAATGGGCCTGTTATTGTGCAGCATTTGAAATGTTTATTTAGGACCAGCTATTTTTATTGCTCCATGATCACAGAGGACGTCTCAGATCTCTACCGTAGAATTGAATCCTGTTGGGCACATTGGTCACCTTGAGTAATGTTCTCATTTGTGACAGTGTACCTTGTAGACTCTGCCTGTTCCTATCTTACGGCTGAACTAGAGCTCAGCTTGCCAGCAGCATGCTCTGCACAGCTGAAAAGCCCTCAAGTTCAGTGGGAAGGGGCTGGCCAGAGGAGGCATTACAGTTAGCTATGTATTTGTTTTTGTGAAATTCTCTCACTTATATTTACTTTAGACTAATAGCAAGTTAAGAGGTTCCTAAATCTACCCCCACCCCAAACCATTCCAAGTAGATAATCCAAGTAGATAATTCTGGGTCTATCCCAAGGGTTGGTACCTATGGCATGCTTGTGGGTATTAGAAAATAATATTCTTTTCTTTTATCAGAGGCTCATAGGGATATCAAAGCTGCTCCTAGCAAAATGTATCAAGTTCCTAGCGCAACTTGTCCTTGAAATGATCCCACTTCTACCTGTGACTTCTTTCTATCCTTTCTCCTTCCTCTCCTCAAGTCCTGTTCCTTTGAGGCTGGCAGCTGCAGTTTAAAATGGTAGCTGCTTGGGATTTAAGATTTGAGCCCTCCCAAGAGGCTGTGCATTTTGGAAGAAAACTTCTAAAAATCATGAAAGAGCACCAACTGCCTCATAATTTTTGCTCAGAAAATTGGGTGTATAGTATCCTGGGGTTCTAAGGAAGTTTTTTTCTCTAATTTCCAGACCTATATCCTGTTTGACCTTTGCCAACAGGCCTGGTATACGATAGGTGGATTATTCTTATAAATCTAATTCTCTCGTTTTTATAATGTTTCTTTTTAGAGTAAGCAACAAAGAATTGCTTTTCTAATGTGACTTTATCCTCAAGATAGAGACATTTGCCTATCTGATAAATCACACATTACTTAGGTACATATGTATATTATTGTAACCAAGAGGAGCTTCCATTTTTGAGCTGGGTATATCATGAGTTTTTTAAAATAGATTTTTATTGATTTTTAGAGAGAGAGGAAGGGAAAGGGATAAAGAGATAGAAACATCATCGATCAGCTGCCTCCTGCATACCCCTTACTGTGGATCGAGCCAGCAACCCAGGCATGTGCCCTGACTGGGAATTGAACCGGTGACCTCTTGGTTCATGGGTTGGCATTCAACCACTGAGCCACACTGGCCAAGCTATGATTTTTTTTGTTGTTAAAATGTGCCTTAAGAGCCTATTACTTCAAGAGCAAATGATTCTTTGGGGGAAAGGCAAAATTAATGCTATGGCATAAGGACCCAAGTTCATGGTACTAAGTGTACTCTTTGATTCATCACACACTAATATATAGATGACTGCCTCAAACCTGTAAGTATGGCAGTGACCTCTTATTTAAAGAGAGATGTAGGAGTTATGTCTCAGCGTCCAACTTTTTGAAGTCTGTGCTATTGAAATTACAAAATCTCTCAATTACTTTTGCATTTAAAAAAAAATAGATTTTTGTGTTGGCTGCAGAGAGGAAGGGAGAGGGAGAGAAACATCAATGATGAGAGAGAATCATTGATTGGCTGCCTCCTGTATGCCCCCTACTGGGGATCAAGCCCGCAACCCAGGCATGTGCCCTTGGCCAGAATTGAACCTGGGACCCTTCAGTCCACAGGCCAATGCTCTATCCACTGAGCCAAACCTGCTAGGGCTTGCATTTTATTTTTGATATGGGACTTAGCTTACTGTGATGTCTATGGCCACATTTAGGTCACAAATCCAATGCTATAAATATAAAGCCCAAATACATGGCTACAGTGACTGCTCTGGAACATTTTTGCTCATTTTCAAAGGTTGACAACTTGATCTATAGGTTTCTAGGGCAGTTAGAACTTCTATGTGGAGGTGAGACTCTGTGAATTACCTAGCATCTTTGCTTATTTCCAGTTATGCAGATTAGTGTGAATGACCAGGGTAGAGTGTTTTTGAAGGAATATAAATAAAAAACTGTTGACATTCATGGACAGTGTTATTTTGTGAACACAATGTATTTTGGACCCTTAAATATGAGATGACTAAAAACACAGCAATATTGTTATATACGGGTTATATGCTAACTGTTTGAAATGTACTTCAGAAAAACAGCCAACTGTCTTGATTATTAAAGTATGGTATGCATTCAACTTATATGGACTGAGTGTAATTTATAATCAAATATAGTATTAAGTTTTACTTTAAATGATAGTCATTTATAAACCATTGTTAAATCATTGCTTTCACAAATGTTAACTGCTGACTTAAAAGTTTGTGTCATATGCTCATGCTATGCTAAGCTCTCATTTTATTTTAAGCATATTCATAACTAATCTTTCAGGGAGTGGAATGGTCTCTTTGGTGAAAAGGAAGTATGGTCTTCCATATTTATGAGGTTGTTTACCATACATGTATATTACTGCTATATTGGCCTTGCTTGTGGAAATGAGGATAAATCACTCTATTTATATTGGATTTGCACTTTTGTTTTTATTGTTTTAAACCCTCTTATCTCTTTATATTTTTGATGGTGATTTGCCTGTGCAGATGATAGAACTGTTATTTCAGTAAACTTCAGATATTCATTCTGCTACTCTGGCTCTGATCCTTAGATCTCCGGAAATTCTCTCCCTAACAGTGCACCTTATCGCTCCTTGCTTAATAAGATTCCACTCTTTCATGACTTGTACAGATAACCTAAGAGTTCTTAGAGCTAACATTAGGCGTTATATCTTATATATGAAATCCTGTTTCTGATGGAAAACCTGATCTGAAGTAATTATTTACAAGGTTTTTAAATCAGTAGTGATGTTGAGTTTAGGAGGAAGAAAACATTGTCCTTAACAGAATTGTTTAATAACTAGAGGCCCGGTGCACGAAATTTGTGCGCAGAGGAGGGGGGTTCCCTTAGCCCAGCCTGCACCCACTCCAATCGGGGACTCCTCGGGGGATGTCTGGCCACTGGTTGGACACCCCTCTCACAATCTGGGACCGCTGGCTCCTAACCACTCACCTGCCTGCCTGCCTGATTACCCCTAACCCCTCTGCCTGCCTGCCTGATTGCTCCTAACCTCTCTGCCTGCCTGCCTGATCACCCCAAACTGCCCTCCCCTGCCAGCCTGATCTCACCCCCAACAGCCTCTGCCTACCTGATCACCCCTAACTGTCCTTCCTTGCCAGTCTGGTTGCCCCCAACTGCCCTCCCCTGCTGGCCTGATCTCGCCCCTAACTGCTCTCCTTTGCCAGCCTGATCACCCCTGACTGCCTCTGCCTGCCTGATCACCCCTAACTGCCCTCCCCTGCAGGCCTAATCTCACCCCCAACTACCCTCCTCTGCCAGCCAATTTGTTTCTGATTGGTCAGTTTCTATGCCAGTCAGCGTCAAAAGCTCCGCCTCCTAGGCAGCCATTGGCTGCTCACAGTTGACTCAGATTTGGTTCTGATTGGTCAGTTTCTATGCCAGTCAGCATCTCTGGGCCTATCAATGGGGCCTGATCAGAAAGGCAAGGCTGATCAGCAGCCACGGTGGAGGCCTGGAGAGAAATGGATGTGTGGCTGTTGGCCAGACTGGGAGAGAAAGAGAGGTAAGTTCTGATCAATGGCTGCCACAGAGGCTACAGATCAGACCCTGCCTCTCTTTCTGCAGGCCTCTCTCCAGGCCTGATCCACAGCCCCTAGACAGTGTTGGGTCGGGGCACCCGGTCTGGTCAAGCCTTCGGTCATTATAACCCTGGCTCTTTATTATATAGACTAGAGGCCCGGTGCACAAAAATTTGTGCACTCGGGGGGGCGGGGGGATCCCTCAGCCCGGCCTCTGCCCTCTCGCAGTCTGGGACCCCTCAGGAGATAACGACCTGCTGGCTTAGGCCTGCTCCCGGGTGGCAGAGGGCAGGCCCAATCCCTAGGTGCAGCCCCTGGTCGGGCTCAGAGCAGGGCCGATTGGGGAGTTGGGGCGCCACCCCCTGTCATGCACAGAGCAGGGCAGATTGGGAGGTTGCGATGCCACCCTCAGTCACGCTCAGGGTAGGGCCAATTGGGGGGTTGGGGCACCACCCCCTGTCACACTCAAGGCAGGGTTGATGGGGAGGTTGCGGCGCCACCCCGTCATGCACAGAGCAGGGCCAATCAGGGGGTTGGGGCGCTGCCCCCTATCACGCACAGAGCAGGGCCCATCAGGGGGGTTGGGGCTCCATACCCTGTCACGCACAGAGCAGGGCCCATCAGGAGGGTTGGGGCTCCGTACCCTGTCACGCACAGAGCCGCAGGGCGATCATGGGGATGGGGAGCTCCCCCTATCAGGCACAGAGCAGAGCTGATCAGGGGG